AATAAGTAACTTCATAATATAATCTCAGGTATTAAATATATGAAGAAAAATGAAGCTGACTAAAAAGAAGAGATGACAGGAATGCCCATTCTAGACAGAGAGCAAGGCAGGTCTCTAAGACAAGGTACATGGCACCTGAAGGAAGTGAGGGGTGAACGCTGTAGATGCTAGAGGAAGAACATTCTAGGACAGGAAGTAGAATGACCAAGACCCTGAGGGGGAGTAAGCTGTGACTGAGGAACAGCAAGACTGCCTTGAGGACAGAGGGAGGAGCAGCACATTCTGGGAGCTTGGGAAGGTGCCAGGCCTCATGCCAGTGGGTCCTAAGTGATGGGGCCCCATGGGAGGACTCTCAGCCAGAAAGTAACAGGACTGGGTTTATGTTTGAAAAGGATGGCTCTGACTACCTCACATATTGGACCAGGAGGGGAAGATGCAGGAGTGGAAACAGGGAGACAAGTGTGAGGACTTGGTGCTGGTGAAGGAAGGGTGAAGCAAGGGCAGACGAGAAAGTGACTTGAAACCCGTGGATCTGACCTATGTCAGATGGAGGAGAAGGGTCGAGGAGGGGTCCTAAGCTGAGCAAGCAGTTAGGGAGATGGTGGTGGCATTGCTGGAGACAGGGATGAGGAGAGGAAGGGTCTGGGAGAAAAGAACATGAGAGTCTGTGAGGTCTGAGACATCCAGGGGACGTCCAGGGGAAGGCGACAGGGAGAGAACAGCATGGAGGCTGACATGTGGACAGGATTCATTTACAGATATGACTGGAAACCCTGGAAAACCTGGGACAGGAAGGGATTGGCCAGAGCACTGGTTATAAATAGGGTAAGACTGCCCCCTCGAGGCTACTTGGAAACTCCAAGCTATGTTGCTCGTTGTCAGGAATAATGGGGGTGCTACTGGCATTAGTGGGAAGGGAACAGGGAATCCAGATGTCCTGCCATGTCACATGTCAGGAAGAATTATTCTTAATCCTCTCAGACTTTCAAATGCCTTGAGAAACATTCATGTATTGGATAAAAATCTGTTTATAATGATTTGAGCTGAGAACCTAACTCCATTTTACATATAAATCCAAAGACTTATCTTTTGCACTGAATTTTTCCAGAAATAGACCTACTACATAAACCAAGGGAACATAATTTTTGGTTTCGTTCAGAATTTTACCAGGGGATTTTCACCATGTCAGGAAATCATGTTACTGTGACCCTGCCAACAAAATACACCTATGTCAGTCCACACTGCTAACTATTGCTCTAGGCAGAAGTGTATGTTTAAATATTTCACATATTTAGTTGTGTCCAAGCATTTAAATACTGAAATACATACTATTTTATTGTAAATTACTTTCATTTTCTTTCATATTATAATTATTACATAACACTATTAAAAAAATTTTTTTTAATGTTTATTTTTAGGGGCATCTGGGTGGCTCAGTCAGTTGAATGTCCAACTTTGGCTCAGGTCATGATCTGGCAGTTCATGAGTTTGAGCCCTACATGAGGCTCGCCGCTATCAGCGCAGAGCCCACTTTGGATCCTCTGCCCACCTCTCTGCCCCTCCCCTGCTTGCACTCTCCCAAAAATAAATATTAAAAAAATATATATTTATTTTTACTTAAGAGAGAAAGTGAGAACCAGCAGGGGAGGGGAAAAGAGAGATAGAGAAAATCCCAAGCAGGCTCCATCCTGCCAGTGCAGAACCCAACTTGGGGCTCGATCTCATGAACTTCGAGATCATGACCTGAGCCAAATTCAAGAGTCAGACACTCAAACGATGGAGCCACCCAGGAGCCCCACATAACACTTTTTTTTTTTTTCTTTTTACAAACTATGTGTTGGAAGAATATATTAGCTGTGACTTTCATTCCCACCCAGTAAAGAATCAGTTCTAAGAGGTGGGCACGAGGCTAATATGTTAAGAACCATTAAGTGAAGAGTGAGGGTAGAGAAGACAAAAAAGTGTTGAGCTCTGGGTCCCTGCAACCGCTTGGAGGTCAGGAGGGAGGAGACAGGAGAGACTTGAGACGCAGCAGCCAATAAGGATCTGAGTGGTGTGAGAGGTGGACTGCGGTGGAGGCTTTGGGAAGCCACTTGGATCCCCTTCAAGACCAAGACTCTCACTTTCTCACCTCCCAGGAGTGTGAGATGCTAGCAGCCCCAGGAGAAGTTCCACCCCAGTAAATGCCTTTGGTTGAAGAGAGCTGCTCACCCCTTCTGGGAATCAGCCAGAATTCATGACTGTCCATGTGAGGGTTCAGAGGCCTGGTTCCCAGGCCTCAATTCAGAACAACTCAGAAGGGCTATCCAAGCTCCAATGCACCCCTGGGACCAGCTGAGGCCTCTATGTGACTGATGGCATCTCAGTTACACTCTGCCTACTCTGCTCCCCTCATTCCCTTGCAAGAGTTGTCCCTGAGATGACTCTCTGCCTCCTGCATGCAATTCTCCATGAGTCTGTTTCCTAAAAATTCTGACCCAAAACAGCCAAAAACTGAAAAAAAAAAAAAAAAATCAAGTAGTGATAATGTGAATATGTTTTTCAGAGCTGTAGCAATAAAAGCCAAAATAATCACCTGAAAAAAATGAATGTTACCTTTGGCAGGGCAGGAAAATTATGGTGAGGGGGAACAGAAGAACATCATGTTATAACAAACTTCAATGACTTTCTTTAAACTATGTGCAAATTATGACTTTGATAAACATTTTTTGAAAACACTTTTGAGGGGCGCCTGGGTGGCTCAGTCGGTTGAGCGTCCGACTTTGGCTCAGGTCATGATCTCACGGTCTGTGAGTTCAAGCCCCACATCGGGCTCTGTGCTGACAGCTCAGGGCCTGGAGCCTGCTTCAGATTCTGTGTCTCCCTCTCTCTCTGACCCTCCCCTGTTCATGCTCTGTCTCTCTCTGTCTCAAAAATAAATAAACATTAAAAAAAATAATAAAAAAAAATACTGTTTTTTAAAAAAAACACTTTTGATAAACATATCTAAAAAATATGAATATTTAAGAAAATAGGAAGAGGTGCTTGGTGGGGGGGGGG